CCTAGAACTCACAGACCTGCTGAAGGTTCTGGATCCACTGTTGCTGATGAAGCAGCTCCAGCTGCTGCATCTCTCTGAGTTTCCTGTAGAACCTGAGATGTTTCCTCTGCGTTCCGCGGAGTCTGTCCAGCAGAGGTCAGCTGTTTCCATCAGCTGCTCCTCTCACTGCTTCACAGCATCAGAAGGTGAATCCAGAGAGGAAGCAGCTGCAGCATGAGTCCAGCAGGTGGAGCCATAGAGCAAACAGCAGGTGGTGGATCTAGATCTTCACTGACCAGACTGTGACGTTCTCACCTCTATAATTCTCAGATGGAGGATCTGCTGCGTTCAGGACTGCGACGCCAAAAAGGTAGATTTCATTTTACTTTGATTTATAAGAAACAACAAAACAGACTGAGGAGGTTTAAAGAGCGGCTTAGGCAGGGAGTCAGCAGGCAGACCAAACCTGCAGCCGTGAGCAGAACATCTTTCAATTAAACTCTATTCAGTTTATTTCTATAGCTCCAAGTCACATCATGTCATCTCAGGTCACTTTATAGATCCAGATCAACCAGATCATCCAGTCAGATTGATTCAAAGTTTTCTATCTAAGGAAAACCAGCTGATTGCATCGACTCATTGACTCTTCAGCAATCCCTCACACTAAGCATGCTTGTAGCGACAGTGGAGAGGAAAAACTCCCTTTGAACAGGAAGAAACCTCCAGCATGCCTCCTGAGGGGGGCGCAGTGCTTTGCTAACACTGCCTATAGTGGGAGGGGGGAGCTGCTGACCCTAAAAGACGACATCTTGGATAGTGGAGGAATAATTTATGTTCTCCTCAATCTGGCTGAGATGCTTTCTGTGGTGGAAGAAGAGATGCTGGTGATTGGTTCACCAGGACGATTTCACTAAGGTGATCTAGAAACTCCACAATGGTCAGGATTAATGGGTGGATGGACACCTAGCTTAATGTGTCCATTACTCCAGATTGGAATGTCCAATCGCTCCAATCCCAGAGCCTCTAATCGGTTAATAAACACGCCCGCCACATTTTACATTTCAGAGCAGCATTTTTATTCCCTCACACCAAGATGCTGTAAAATACTAAAACTATGATCCACTTCTTTACCTTCTTTTATCAGCCTAAACACTAATTTAATCATTTATCCAAATTTCCTTATTTTAACTAAAACCTGAGATTT